TATCTTTTAGGGTACCTTTTTTAAAAAGCCAAAGATAGAGCAGGGTTTAGGGCTGTTGTACATAGGGTTGCTATGAGTCGAAAGCGACTCAACGGCTCATGACAACAACAACAAGTTGTAAAAAAGAAGTCTGAGAAGAGAGTGGAGAGTTGGGTAGGGGTCAGATGGTGGGAGTGCCTTGTAGGGCATTTTAAAGTTAGACTTTGGGCAAAGGAGAACTGCTGAAAGGTTTTAGACATGAAACAATCGCATCAAACATTTAGAAAGAGAACTCAGTGTGGGAACTGACTTTGGGGAGAATGAGAAAGAAGGTGGAGGCTATTGGAGACAGTTACGCAGTGTAAGCTAGAGTGTGCCTCGTCCCTTGAAAAAAATCCATCCTCTCGTGACCACCAGTGTTCTTCATTCATAGTTCTCTCTCAATTCCCTTGCCCCATGTCTTCATCTCTAATTTCTCTTTCCTCTTCTGACACCGTAAATTTTGCTATTCTCCAGAGTGTTTCTTTCTCTTTTTATTTTCTACATAATGTTACATTTATATAGAATCAATTTTTTTGTGGTAGTCTGTTGGTTGGAAACAAATCACAGATCCCACCCACATTAAAGGAGAGAAGCTTACACAAGGGCATTAACACCAGGAAGCAGAGATTCTCTGAGGACCACATTAGAGCCTGGCTTCCAGAAGCCTTGTGTTGGTTATCTCAGCATCTCATATGCCCCTGCTCTTCTTGCACAGGCTACTTTTGTGGCTTGTTCCGTATCTCTCTACGTTCCATCCACATGGAGGTGGGTTTGTTCAGATCTCACTATGATCCAGATCATCTAAGTGGGTTCCCTGCCTAGTTTCTCTTCTCATGAATCCTCCCTCCAGCCACTCGAGTTAGGTTCACAGAAAGGACTCCCAACTGTCTTTGCCATAAAGGCTCCTCTATTCCAGTGTGCTGTTAAAAATTGTGTAGTCTGCTCTCCACCTGCTTTTCTAAGTTCATTGACCACCACGTTTTGCTCTTGCCCTTGGGCCTGGACTTCTTGATGTTTCTTGAACTCACCCTGCTATCTTGTGCTGCTGAGAATTTTGTCCTACAATGTGTTTATCTTGGAGTCCCTTCTCCTACCTCTACTGAGAGACAGTCCATTCCAGTCACTTCCAGCTCTTGGTGAGCCTCTGAGAATTGTTAAGACTGTGCTCCATGACATTGCCAGTCACTGTTTTTCAGAAGTAGACCATCTGGCTTTTTTCAAGCATGCTTCTAGGTGGGCTCAAACCTCTAACCTTTTATTAGCAGCCAACGTTTTATAACAGCCAAACATGCATACCTTTGTCACTACCCAAGGACCCCTCCTTCTTCCTCTGAAAGCCTGTTACTTACTTCCAAAATGAACTTTAAATAATAGAAATAGATCTATAAACTTTTTCCTGTTTCTCTCTTGTTCACAAACTGCCTGACTTAGAAGGAAGAAATCTGTATGTATTCCCATTAATTGGGAAAGATCTGGTGTGAAAAACAGTGTATTCCAATTTTGTAAATAAACTAGTATAATTTTTTTTTTAGAAAAAAGGGAGGAAAAGAGATTATCCAGCACATTGTCACAGAATATCATTAATAACATATGCAAGTAAAAGCTTGCTAAAGTTTTTTTTTTTTTAAAATGGGTAAAACAGTATCTTGACAGGGAAATTCCAGAAGTTTAAGCTAGATTTAAAGGGCTGTGGAACTAGGGCCTAACATTGCTCATGTCAAATGGATCTTGGCTGAAAGCACTACGAGAAGAATATCTATTTGTGCTTTGTTGACTATGCAAAGGCACTTAACTGTGTGGATCATAATAACTATAGTTAACCTTGAGAAGAGTGGGAATCCCGGAATAATTATGCTCATATAAAATGTATATGTAGACCATGGTATAGGTTCCCTTGTTCAATTTCCTTGTCCAAACAGAATCATATAAGGTGTGTTTCAGAGCTGTATCCTTTTTCCCTACCTGTTCAGTCTGCATGCTAAGCAAATCATTTGAGAAGCTGGACTATGTGAAGATTGTGGCATCAGAATCAGAGGATCCACAACCTGTGTTATGCATATAACACAACCTTGCTTTCTGAAAGTGAAAAAGACTTGAAGTACTTGCTGTAGAAGATTAAAGACTATGAAGTGTTCACTGTGATTACACTATAACATCAAGAAAACAAAAGTTCTTACTACTAGGCAACATTGTGTGTGATAGATGGAGAATAGATTGAAATTGTCAACAATTTCATTTTACTTATATCCACAGTCAACACTCATGATAACAGCAGTCAGGAAACCAAAAGTTTCTTGGTAAACTTTCATCTGAATATCACATGCACTCAGAGACATTGACAGCATTGGGAAAATTTGTTGTCAAGCTCCTCTCCAGGCATCTAAAATTCAACGATGTCTTTTTAGAAACTAAAATGCACCTATTCCAAGCCATTTTCTTTTCCATTGCTTAGGCTATGTCTGAAAGTTGGACAGTGAATAAGAAGGACCAAAGAAGAATCAAAGCCTTCGAACTGTAGTGTTAGAGAAGAGTACTGAATATCCTATGGACAGCCAAAAGAACAAACAAGTCTGTCTTGGAAGAGGTACAACTAGGGTACTCCTTAGGGGCAAGGAAGCTTTATCTTACATATTTTTAAGTATGTTTTCAGGAGGGACCAGTCCTTGTAAAAAGACAGTGTGATGGGAAAGAATGGAATATCAGAGAAAGAAAAGCTCTCAGAAGGTGGATTGACACAGTGACCCTAACAATGAGCTAGAGTATGTAACAGTTGATGAGGATGGTGCCGGATAGAACAAGGTTCAGAACTCTTTGTTTATAGGGTCAGCTAGTTGGAACCAGCTCAACTGATCCTCCAGTGGGTTTCTGAGGCTGTACATCTCATGGCAGAAGATAGCTTCTCTCCCTCAGAGCTGTTCATGGTTTCAAACCACTAGAGAGGCACAGGCTTTGGATTAGCAGTGCAACTTCCTGCAGACAGGGCCACCAGGGCTCCTTATCTGACACAAAGGTCTCTCAATACACTAAAGCAAAGGTAGGGAAAAGGGACAGTAAATGGAAGGCAGGGAAACTAGTGTTGAAACTGGAGCTACTAGAAAGCAATTGGTTGACACAATGTTGACACAGTATGAAAAATGTAACTAATGTCACAGAACAATTGATTTAAAAATTGCCAAATGACAACCTTATTTACTGTGTACAGTTCCACAAAAAGCACAGTAAAATATCATTTGAAAGACTTCTAAATGTATAGTTAATGTAATTGGGGAAAATGTACTTTTGGGAAATTGTGGAGAGTGACCAGAAATGAGGGGAAAAAAAGTCACTAAAAATTTGTGATTTATGGCTGGTTACAGCATGAGAAGAGAGTAAAATAAGTAAGAAAATTGGGTGAAAGGATAGAAATATGCAATAAAGCATTGTTGTTGTTATGTGCCATCGTGTCATTTGCGACTCATAGCGACCCTATGTACAATAACCCTAAATGCCGTTCTATCCTGTGCCAACCTCGCTGTCTCAAACACATTCATTCCCACCACTCCACTCACAGAATCGATCCATCTCATTGAGGGTCTTCCTCTCCTGCGCCGTCCCTCCACTCTCCCAAACATGATGTCCCTCTCCAAGGACCAGTCCCTCCTTGCAACATGCCCAAAGTATGTCAGACAAAGCTTCAGAATCCTTGACTCCAGGGAACATTCTGGCTTCACCCTCTCCAGGACAAACCTGTTTGTTCTCCTAGCAGTCCATGGTATATTCAACACTCTTCTCCAGCATCACAGCTCAAAGGCATCAATTCTCTATCATCCCTATTCACTGTCCAACTCTCTGATGCATAGTACGTAATTGCAAAGACTATAGCCTGGATCAGGTGCACCTTAGTCTCCAGCCTGATGTCGTTGTACTTCATTATTCTTGAGAGGTCCCTCACAGCTGATTTTCCCAATGCAATTCGTCTCCTGATTTCCTGGCTGCTGTTACCAAGAGTGATGACTGTGGAGCCAAGCAAACTAAAACTGTTACTATCTCAATCTCTTCACCATAAGGCATTATGATTACTTAATCACATTCATCATTAGGATGGATGGTGAAGAGATTTAGATTGTTAACAACTTTAGTTGGCTTGGCTCCACAGTCAATACTCTTGGCATGCTATTGGAAGTCTGCTGTTAGGGACCTCTCCAAAGTACTGAAGAGCAGTGGTGTCACTCTGGAGACTAAGGTGCACCTGATATAGGCCATGGTCTTTGCAATCACTTGCTATGCATCAGAGAGCTGGACAATGACTAGGGATGATAGGAGAACTGACGCCTTTGAGCTGTGGTGCCGGAGAAGAGTATTGAATATACCATGGACTGCTAAGAAAACAAACAGGATCATTCTCGAGAGGGTTAAACCAGGCTGCTCCTTAGAGGCAAGGATTCTGCAACTTCATCTGACATACTTCGGGCATGTTGCAAGGAGGGACCAGTCCTTGGAAAGGGTTGTCATGTTTGGGGTGGTGGAGGGACAGCACAGGAGAGGAAGACACTGAATGAGGTGGATTGATTCAGTGACTGGAGTAATGGGGGTGGGTGTGTCTGAAACAGTGAGGCTGGCATAGGACAGAGCAGAGTTTAGGGCTGTTGTACATAGGGTTGCTATGAGTCACAGGTGACTTGATGGTACATAACAACAACAACAACAACAACAATTGTATTTATCAGTTGTAATTATTGTTATAAAACAAAATATGTATGAATGAGTGAAAACCAATGTTTGTAAATTTTCATTGAATTAATTAAAAATTTAACAATTATATTTTAGCACTCATGGTAGAGAAATGGTGACATGAAGTAAAGAAACTCCTGGAATCATCAGCATTTATTTCCCTTTGTGTTTGGGATAAAATGTGAATGTGGGCAGCTGCCTCTTTGTGTGTGGTGTTGTAAGGTACAACTTATTTACAATTTGTTCTGACTTCTTTCTTCGTTTTCTAGGACTATTTTGAAAACAATTGCTCTGGGTCAGATGTTGTCCTTGTGCATATGTGGAACAGCCATCACCAGCCAGTATTTGGCCGAAAAATACAAAGTGAACACCCCGATGCTTCAGAGCTTTATCAACTATTGCTTGCTGTTTCTCGTTTATACAGTGATGCTGGCATTTCGATCAGGTATGTCAAGTGTGGGAATTCCTTTTTCAGCAAAATTATGTTTATGAAAAATTTTGGTTTCCTGTTTGTATAAAAGTGACTCGAAAAGTATATGAACTCTGTATGACCAAAGATTTATGGAAAATGCTTTGAAATTTTGACTAAAATGAGTAACACCAGTTTATGGTTCTGGAGCTCTGAGGGTCTAGTGGGAAGGAAGCTGCATTGCAATCCCAAGGCGTATGGTTTGAATCAGCCAGCGCCGCGGGAGAAGGATGGATAATCTCCTCCCAAGCAGTTAACTGCCTCTGAAAACCTGCTGGAGGGTCAGCTGTGGAGCGGGGTCAGACTCAATGGCACACGAGAACAACAGCTCATGGTTAGTATATATATATACACACCACCTTCGCCCAGTTATAAGTTAGGTTTATTTTCTTCCTGCCACTGGAGATAAAATTATATTAGAGATATTTAAAAGTTTAGAACTGCACTCTTCAAAATAGATTTTTCCAACTAAGTGGAGAATTCTAAATGGTGTTATCAGTTTTATGTCAGTGGAGCCTGTGTTTTCAGAGAAACAAAGATAAAAAAAAATTTAACATCTTTAATTGTTGGAGAGCCCTTGTGGTGCACTGCTGAAGGCCTAGACTGCTAACTGAAAGGTCAACAGTTCAAACCCACCAGCTGCTCCATGGGGAAAAAAAAGATGTGGTGGTCCATAGAAATTTCTCATTTTTGAAACAGTATGCCCTGCCCTATAGAGTGTTTCTGAGTCTTGGTAGTGAGCTTGGGCTTTTTTTTTTTTTTAAAAAAAAAAAAGCTGTGGTTAGACTATTTTACAAGTATCATAGTATTATTTTTAGCTAGCTACACAAAAATGGGGAAAACTAGATTTTAGCTAACATTTCTGTGCTGGTTATCATTTTACTTAATTTGTTTCAATTATAAATTAACTCATTGAAACCTCTTAACAGCTCAGGTGAGTATTACTGTTCACCCAATATTATGGCTGAGGGAAGGAGCTCTGGTGGCACAGTGATTAAAAGTACTTGACTGCTAACCAGAGGGTGACTGTTCAAACCTATCAACTACTTTGCTGGAGAACAGTGTGACTGTCTGCTCCATAAGGATTTACAGTCTTGAAGGCCCTTTTATTCCAAGCTTGTACCTGACTTAATTTTCATTTCTAAGCATATCTCTTCTAGAGTTTCCATATGCAGAGCTTCCTTTGATGGAATCCATGAATAGAGGTTAAATACCAGTGAAGTCATAGGAAAATATTTCATTTTCTCGGTTAGTCTGTGGCATGTCACAAATGACAACATCAATCCTGTGTCCGGATATTATATTCTGCTCCCAGGTGGAAGGGAAATGGAACTGCTTTCCTCTTACTTATTTACTCTCTGTGTTTTCACTGAAAACTTGGTTCCTAATGAGATCCTAACTTGGGTCTCACACTAGGAGAAGATACAAATGACTTCCATGAGCTGCTGTAGGAATTTGGGTTCTGAGTATTGGACAGTATGAGGGATCACATTCAAAATACACAAGAAACCTTTGCCTTGATGTTTTAATGTCCAGATTAATGTGCATGGTGTTATTTGCAAAAACATGGATTTACTCCTATTTTTCCAACCAGGAAGTGATAACATTTTATGCATCTTGAAAAAGAAGTGGTGGAAATACATCCTGTTGGGCCTCGCAGATGTGGAAGCTAACTACTTGATCGTCAGAGCGTACCAGTACACGACTCTAACCAGCGTCCAGGTATGAGGGCGCCTCTGGTCATTTTGAATTTTAAAGCTTCGAGAGAATAATCTGAACTCACATATTTATTTATAGGTACCAGTGAGTCACCTATACTCATTGTCGAGCAGCAGATCAGAATTTTGTCCTATCCTGCTCCGTCTTCTTTACCTCTGTTGTGCTTGAACCCATTGTTACAGCCGTCACTGTAGCAAGCCTTCTTGATGAGGGTCTTCCTTTCTTTCCCTGACCCTCCACTTTTCCCAGCCTGGTGCCTTTCAGTTCAAATCCACCAGCTGCTCTGCAGGAGAAAGATAGGCAATCTCCTTCCATGTGATAAACTGCCTCTGAAAACCTGCTGTGGGTCGGTACTGACTTGACAGTACACAACGATAACAACAGCAGGCCTCTGCTGACAATATGCACAAAGTATGTGAGAAGAATTTCACCATCCTTTCCTCTAAAGAGAACCCTGGTTGCACTTGCTGTTTTTAGGAGCCATCAGAATGAAGCATTACCTGGTCCTAAGCTCTCTTCACAGTTGCTACTAGTCTTGAACTCAGTTGCTGTGTCAGTCCGTCTAAGTAGGAGTTTTCCCCTTCTTCATTGAATCTCCACTTTTCTAAGTATGATGTCTTTTTCCAGGTACAGGCTCCTAATAATGTGTCCAGGGTATGTGAGGCAAAGTCTTACCATCCTAACCTTCAAGGAGCATTCTGGTTGTACTTCATCAAAGACAGCTTGGTTTTATGTTAACTATCCATGGTACTTACTCAATATTTGTTGCTTGTTATGTTATGTGCCGTTGAGTTGCCTGTGACTCATAGCGACCCTAGGTACAACAGGTCTGAAGCCTGCCCTGTCCTGAGCAACCCCCAACACCCCAGTTACTGTGTCAGTCGATCTCATCTGGGGTCTTCCTCACCTTTGCTTTCCCTCCACCCTTCTGAGCTAGCACCATAATAATGTATCTTATTGGATATATTGGCGAAAGTGCAGCCAGAGCGTGCTTTGGAGGCAAAGATGATAAAGCTCCACCTCATGCACTTCAGGCATGTTGCTAGGAAGGACTATCTCTTGGAAGGGGGACACGATGCTCAGAAAGACAAAGGGTCAACTAAGGAGAGGAAGACCCTCAACCAGGTGGATTAATGTGGTAACTGCTGGGGAGCTCTGGTGGCCTAGTGGTAAGGAGTTGCAACTACAATCCCAGAGGCGCATGGTTCAAATCCACCAGATGCTCTGCCGGGGAAGGAGGGACAATCTCCTCCTGTATCAGTCAGATCTGATTTGACGGTACACTCACACAAAAATAATAAAATGTGCTAACTGCTGAAGTGGGCTCTTGTGTCAGGAAGTCTAAGGATGGCGCAGGATAGGACAGGGCTCAGATCTGTTGTTAATAGGATTGCTATGGGTCATACTTGACTCGAAAGCACCTAACAACAGCACCGTAATGCATACCCATCCATTATCCTTTGGTCTTTTTTATTCACTGTTCAACTTTGACGTGCACATGAAGCAATTGAAAATACTGAAGCTTGGATTAAGTTCACCTTTGTCTTCAAAATGATATCCTTGTTCTTTCACACTTTAAGTCTGCTGTCCTTGGCCACAGATTGTAAAATGAAAAAGATGTTGTTTGATTTCCTGATTGCTGCCTCCACCCATATTGAATGTGGATCCGAGTAAAATGAAGTCATCGAAAACGTCAGTCTTTTGTTCGTTTATCTTAATGCTATCTCTTGGTACAGTTGTCCTGAGGATTTTTGTTTTTATATTGGAGTGTAATTCATACTGAAGGATATAGTTTTTATTACTAGTGCTTCAAGATTTTGTTGTCAGTGAACAAGATTGTGTCATCTGCATATTTTTGTTGTTGTTAGGTCCTGTCAAGCTGGAACCTGCTTGGAGCTGACCCTCCAGGGGGTTTTCAGAGGATTGGATTGCCCATCTTTCTCTTGTGGAGCAGCTGGTGGATTCAAGTCTCATGCCTTTGGATTGGCAGTTTAACTCCTTAATACTAAACCACCAGAGCTCCCCTTTCTCATCTGTGTAACACAAGTTATTAATTAATGAGTTTCTCTCTAATCTTTACACCTGTCTTTCAACAGAGGGCCCAGCTTCTTAGATTCTTTGCTCAGCATGCAGACTGAATTAAGTGTGGAAAAAGATATAACCTTGATGTACAGCTTTCCTGATTTTAAACCATGCAATATTCCCTTTTTCCATTTTAGCAACCACTTTTTAGTTAATATCTAGGTTATCTATGAGCATAACTAAGTATTCTAAAATTTCTATCCTTTGTAATGCTGTCCATCATTTGTTATGATCCACATAGTGTAATGACTTTGTACAGTAAATAAAACAACAGGTAAACAACTTTCTGGTGTCCTCTGCTTTCACGTGGTCTGTCTCCATCAGCATTGACATATTCTTTGTTACACATCTTCCAAATCCAGCTTGAATTTCTGGAAAGTCTCTGTGGATTTACTTTCTTCAGCCATTTTTAGGTAATCTTCAGCAATATTTTAATTGTATGTGTTATTAATGGTACTATTTTATAATTTCCACATTCTATTGGAGCACCTTTATTTAGAATGGATAAAAATTGTTAAATGGATAAAAGTGGTTGTCTGGCCAGATAGTTGATATCCAAATTAGTTGGCATAGACAGACCACTGAGCATCTGCAGCACTCTGTGAAAACATTTCAATCAGTATTCTTGTCAATTCCTGAAGTCTTGTTTTTTTGCCACTACTTTCAGTGCAGCTTCAACTTCAGTACCCTTGGTACTGGATTATATTCTTCCTCCTGAATGCTGCTTTTCTGTTGTTGTGAGGTTTTGTCAAGTCAGCTATAACTCATAATGACCTAATGAGTAATGGATCTGAACCCTGCCCATACTGATGCCATCCTCACCGTCTGTGGTACACTTGAGTCTGGTGTTACAGTCACTGTGTCAGTTCTTCTTGTTGAGGTCATCTCTGTCACTGACCCTCCACCTTCTGAGCATGATGTCTTTTTTCAAGGACTGGCCCCTCCTCACAGCATGCCCAAAGTATGTGAAACAAACATTCACCATCCTTCCCTCTAAGAAGCACCCTGCTTACACCTCTTCTAAGACATATTCGTTTGTTCTTTTGATGGTCTATGGGATGTCGTTGTTGTTGTTATGTGCCGTCGAGTCGTTTCCGACTCATAGTGACCCTATGCACAACAGCCCTAAACCCTGCTCTATCCTGCGTCAACCGCACCACCTCTGACACACCCATCCCTATTATCCCAGTCACCGAATCAATCCATCTCATAGAGGATCTTCCCCTCCTGCGTTGTCCTTCAACCCTCCCAAGCATGATGTCCCTCTCCAAGGACCCATCCCTCCTGGCAACATGTCCGAAGTATGTCAGATGAAGCCCCAGAATCCTTGCCTCCAAGGAGTAGCTTGGTTTAATCCTCTCCAAGACAAATCCATTTGTTTTCCTGGCAGTCCAGGGTACATTCAGTACCCTTCTCCAGCACCACAGCTCAAAAGCATCCACTCTCCTTCTGTCCTCCCTAGTCATTGTCCAACTCTCTGATGCATAACAAGCGATTGCAAATACCATGGCCTGTATCAGGCGCACCTTAGTCTCCAGAGAGACACTGTTGCTCCTGAGTACTTTAGAGAGGTCCCTAACAGCAGACTTTCCCATCGCGATACACTTTTTGATTTCCTGACTGCTGGTGCCAAGAGTGTTGACTGTGGAGCCGAGCAAACTGAAGCTGTGAACAATCTCAATCTCTTCGTCATCCATCCTGACGCTGCCATTTGGTCCAGTGGTGAGAATCTTTGTCTTCTTGACATTGAGCCTCAGTCCATACTGAAGGCTGCAGTCCTTGACCCTTTGCAGCAAGTGCATGAGGTCCTCCTCAGTTTCAGCCAACAGGGTTGTGTCATCTGCACAACGGAGATTGTTAATAGACCTTCCACCAATCCTGATGCCACAATTCTCCTCATAGAGCCCAGCCTCTTGGATAATCTGCTCTGCATACATGTTGAAAAGGTATGGAGACAGGATGCATCCCTGGCGTACACCCTTCCCAATTTTGAACCATGCAGTGTTACCTTGCTCTGTTCTGACTACTGCCTCTTGGTCCAAGTATAGGTTTCGTATTAGCACAATTAAATGTTCTGGGATTCCCATTCTTCTCAGAGTCAGCCACAGTTTGGTCTATGGGATACTCAGTATTATTCTCCAACACCATAACTTAAAGACATCAGTTCTTCCTTTGCCATCCTTATTAATTGTCCAACTTTTGGATGCATAGGTATTAATTAAAAAAAAGATGGCTTGGATCAGGTACACTTGGTACACTTCAGTCTTTAGACTGACATTGCTGTTGTTCAGCACTTTGGAGAGGTCCTTGACAGCAGATATTCCCAACGCAAAGTGTCTTTTGATTTCTGGACTGCTGTTGGTTGTGGTACCAAGGGTGTTGATTGTGGATCCAAGTAAGTTCAAATTGTTGACAATTTCAGTATTTTTTACATCTGTCATGATGTTGCCTGTTGGTCCAGTGGTGAGGATTTTTGTTTTCTTATTGTTAATGTGTAACCTATATTGAAGATTGTAGTCTATGATCTTCTGCAGCAAAGAAGGTTGTGTCATCTGCAGGTTGTTGAATCTTCCTCCCATCCTGATGCCTTTCTTCATTTGAACCTTGTAGCGTTCTCATGCTGTTTGGACAACAGCCTCTTATTTTAGGTATAGATTTCACATGAGCATATTTAAGTCTTTTGGAATTCTCATTCTTCTCAATTTTAGCCATAATTGGTGATCCACGTAGCCAAATGCCTTTTCACTGTCATTAAAACATAAATAGACATCCTTTAGCTGTTCTTTGCTTTCAAAAAGATCCATCTGACACTAGCAGTGATATTCCTTCTGCCATAACTTATTCTAAATCCAGCTTGAATTTTGGATAGTTCTCTGACATTATCCTGTTCTCAATATTTTTTGCTAATTTTCAGTGACATT